AATAAATGGAACTCAATTTGGATTTTTCTACACCAAGATATAACAGATTTTCCAAGACTGCTCAAAGTCTCCTACGGAAAAAATTTTCAGTAGCACTTCCCCTTATTTTCCCTAATTTCCAACCATTTTCAAGGCTACACTCTCACCACAAGACAGCACCAAATCAAGTTCACAAGGTATAAGATACATATAGTACTTATTTTAGCTATAAAACTAGATATAATCAACATATACCTAGGCTGGACAATTCACTACTAAAGCTGAAATTTTAGAATTAAAGCTGGAAATTCCTATTTGAAAACTTAAAAGTCACAATAAAGCTACCAATCACCTCACAAGTCCATAGCCAAACTCAATACCAACATATTAGGGATAAATAACATAAATCAAGGCTGAAAAATCATAACCGTAGGCTGAAATTTCATCAATCTTCACCAAATCTAGATTATCATCCATAAAATTTCAAGTTATCTCACCATGATTTGCAAGAATAAGAAAAAGAAAGGAAGTTGTTCATCTTATACCTTCAACCTCTTGAAGAAAATGAAGAAACCAAGGCTTCCTCTCCAAAAACTCTCCGCTACAAGCTTCCTTGCTTCCTTAGTGCTAGTTTGTTCGGTTTAGTTTTGTGATTTTAACTTAAGCAAGGCAAGAATCAAGATGAACTTAGTGATTTTTCTTCTCTCTTTTCCTTTCCAAACTCACGGCCAAGAAGATGAAGAAATGAAGGAAATTTTGTGCTAGCAAAGATAAGAATGAAAGAAAGCTTCTTGGTCAAAGGTTGCATGGATGGCCAACACTTGGCAAGCCACCAATTTTCCTCTTGTTTTTTGGTCAAAAATTTCAGCTGGCCCTAAATTTAAATTAGGGAGAATTAAATAAAATAAAAACAAGGAGATTGGGGTAAGAAAATATTAGTCAGGTGGTGTACTCAATTGGTAACAAATGGCGCACGTCGGTTCAAGCCTATTTCCTTAACTCTCTTGTACTTTTGTTTTAACTTATGATTCACTAACTTACTTTTAGCACTTTTAATCACATACTTTCTCTTATTTAATATCCGCTCTTATCCATCAAATTTAGCACACACACCTCATCGATTGATCACACTACCAAAATGCACCAAAACCCTAACTTACTCTAACTTTAAAAGTAAAAGTAAAACTCTTGACTCTATTATTTATTACAACTATTAAGGGAAGTAATTAGTATTAAAGAAAGTATAAATTAACTGATTCAAAATAAAAAAGACTTATAAAAAAATATAAGCAAATTTTCAAATCCTCGCACTCGCAACATTAACATCATGACATTTTTTCTCCTTTCTCGCAAGAAACAAAGGCACGTATTCCTTTGTTTTTCTTCTTTTTCCTCTTGACACTTCATCTCATATTTGGAGAGTGATTTCTTCAACAGAGATAAACTAAACGTGTCATTCTAGTAAAAAAAAAACGGAGGATTTGGTTCAATTAAAATTGTAAGATCGAATTGATTATATTTATTTCTTTTATTTACCGGTATTCATCTGTTCCATTATTTAATTTCTTATGATTATTATATTATTTGAATATCTAGATTCCGGTATTTAAATTAATCTAATAATCTAGAACCAATTAGAGCAGATAATTCGTAATTGTTTAATTATTTTAAAATAGTCGTACTTGATATGATTGGATTTGTATCAGGGGAACATATGGGCTAATTTTATTCAAACATGGTTTCTCTAATTTTTAAAACAATTGGGAAATTGAATTCTAAAACCATACCTAGGATTATTTCTTAATTTGGACAGTGATTAACAGTCGTACTTTAATTACCAATACGATAAGGAGAAGTTGATTGTCAATGCTTGTTTGATAATTATAACTTATTTATTAGTGAATAAATGAAATTATTATTACATCAGTGATCAATTGAGTGAACCATTTCCGAAATTATTTCTTAGTTAGAATTTGTTTATTATTGATTCAATGTCAATTAATTATAATTTAGTCCTTTATTTTAGTTATTTAACTATTTTCAATTTTATAAAAATCCCCCATACTCTGAGCTTTATAAGAAATGAATTTTCCCAATCCTTATGGATTCGACCCTGTTTATCACTATATACAAAAGTTTATATTTTATTTGAATAGATATTTATTATTGCACAGATTCGACACATGTCACTAAGTTACTATTTTAGCGCACTCTTTGAAGAAATTTTCCCATGATTGTCTTGTCTAATTTGTCTTGTCAATTTCTTTAGCACTGTCCAGATTATTCTTTGTGGATTGTTACTTTTATCCTTAACTTATTATGAATTCGACATCATTGCTGATGTAACAAAATCACGTCTTACCTAATAAACTATCTTAGTCAAACCCGATCTTGGGGTAGACTGTTTAATTGTAGGCATTCATATTTTGTTAAATTTAATCGTTCCTTACCAATACATGCAAACACAAACCCCATACACTTTGATGACAAATATATTTTTGAAATTTCAGAGCAAACATGGTTAAAAAAGGGTAAAGGGTTTTAGGTTGGATTAATTTGATCTAATTAGGGTTCTGGATTTGGAAGTTATTTGAAGATTTACACTTGAAAGACTTCTCCAAAACGATCAAAATTTTGCAAAAATAAAGTATGCCATTCTTTCTTTCATTTATTGTTTTTCACATATTTTTTTGAAATTAGTTTACATTAGATTAAATGTTGGAATTTGATCACGTGATTTAGATTTTCTTTTCAATAGTATTCTCAACACAGCAGCTTACTCTGGGCGGGATTATTGCATCAGAGAAGCCTCTACATTAATCCACAAGCGCATGTCTTAAGACTTTTAGTGCTATTTATGTGATGCAAACTTAGAATCTTATTCATAGAACATAACTTTGTACAAATAATTTTTCTTATGCAAAAAAAAAAAATTCATTTGAATAACTTATGTTGTAGTGAAATTAAAAAAGTTTCTACAATCATTGCTTTTAGAAGTTGAACAAGAATGGAAACAAATTTTCTTTTGTTGCTTTTAGAAGTAGAACTAGAATGCAAATAAAATTTCTTACTAAGGATTTTAGAAATAAAAAAACACTTAGTAGGAAAAAATTTTATGATAATAAATGACTACTCATTACTTGTAAAATTTTCTTGAAGGCATTTACGTGACATCGCATTTGAGGTTTATTTTACAATTAATTTAAAAGTAGTTTTTTTCTTAATCAAATGAAGTTGATTTAGACTAAAGTGATGACATTTGGCCATAAGAAAATGCAGAGCAAATTTACTGATATCAACTTTTAAAAATGAAAAAAAAAATGTAGGAAAAGAAATGGACATTCAAGGTCCAATTCTTACACTATAGCCCAATATTAAGTTGAGAACGAAAGGATGTTTTCAAGAGGGTTCAATTTGTTTTTAAAACCCAAGATTAAATAGAGACAAAGTTTTCATAACTTAGGACTTACCTCAAGGGCTACTCCCGAACCGTGTTCAGCCCAAAGTGATGGATCCGTTGACGCTTTTCTAAAAGGGAAACTTTTCAAATCGGGATATCTTCCATCATAAGAAGTTTTCATAGAAAGCCCAAACATGTTTGTTCGACCCAGATCCAACCCAAGACTCGTCGAACTCAGTTCCAAAACTCTAAGGTCAAGATCCATCAGATATATGGGTCAGGTCCAGGTCTACTATATAAAAAAATGGGTCTGGTTCCGAAATTTTCAATTTTGATCCGAATCGGATCCGTTGGTGTTCTTATGGGTGACAAGTCTTTCACTTTTTTGGAGTCGATAAAGTTATCATGACTTTAAAGTGATAAAATTGACACAATTATCGATAAAACTATTACAACTTACGAGGTGATAGGCTCGTCACAACTTACGAGAAGATCATATCACAATCTTGAGGAAATTAGTTGATGTACTTTTTCCCTATAAGTTAATCCCCTTGGGGTTACCCCCTTTATCAAAAATATAGAAAATTGAATTAAATGAAAGAATAGTTCTTTTCTTACTTTTTCTTTTTGCTTGAACTCTTTAATTTTTCTTGCTTTCTTAACATATTATCCACCACAAAAAACAACTCAAATCTTACGTCACATTAGCATTAGTTTTATAATAGTCCATCTATATTAGGGCAAGGTTGTTTATTCATTTAGGGCAAGGTTGCAGCAAGAGCGAGCCGAGAGAGGCACCGACAGCAAAATGATCCGGTGATCCTTCCTTTTCTTTTTTGATTCAACCTCGAAATTTCTGCTAATCTGAACTATAGCCCACAAATTTGTTTTCTTTTACAAAATTGCCACTAGAAATTCGGTAAAACAAATAAACATAATTAACAATAAAACCCCTAATCCAGCCATAATCTTCTAGTTAATCCTGGAACGGAGACTAGTACTTTAATCCTAGAACTAATATAACATTAGAAGAACCAACAAGTAAATACATAATAAGATTTACTTAATTGCGGTTCAAAAAAAATCGTTTACTCATTTTTTCTAACTCTAAATAGGGATTCGTCCTTAGATCATACGTAAGTTATTTATTAGTTTAAAAGATAATGTAAACCACTTTCTTAGATAGTGCAGAAAAAGTAGCTATTTCACAACATGCAAAAATAGCTAATACTCCCTCCGTCCCAAAATAAGGGACGTTTTGGGATTCTAACTTATTATGCACAGTTTAATCAATTTGAATGTGAGACATTTTTTTCCAATTGTGCCCCTTTGACCGATATCAAATCTTAATTGCTGTCTATGGTGATGTGAAAAGAATCTGTGGGTCCATGTAAAATGTAAGCTCTTTTTTATGCTGTTGCCAAGCACGCGCCTATTTATGGCCATCAAAATTTTTGGTGTTGTCCACGCACCTTTTTTTGGATGTCTATTTATTGCTTTTGTGGGTTCCATCATACTTGTTTTTTATTTTATCAATGTCTCTTTTGAGGCTACAAATGGAATGTTAGAGAAAAAAATTGTAGTGTGACTCAAATTTTGGGACATGAAAAAAGGTGAACTATGACGATAACAATGGGACGGAGGGAGTAGTATTTAAATTAAGGTAAAAGTCCTGGGCATTGGGAAAGTAAAAAATTAATATCGGAATCATAGAAACAATAATGAGCATTGTACCAAACCTTATTTTTATGGGAACCTTCAAACTTTGCTTTGTTATCTTAAAATCGGGTGACCCTAAATATCTTATGGTTTAAAATTGCTATGTTATCATCCATAAAGTCATTTTACCTTGTTATCCACACCTCAAATACAAGTCTCTAGCAGCCTGCAGTTCCATCAAAACATCTGCTATGTGCATCCTTCTCTCTGGCAAATGAGCTGAGCATGTAACCCCAATATGGAAAATTGAAGCCAGGCACTTTTCAAACCTATGTCTGCCGCATGATCTGGTCTGAGTGTCAGTGGCCATCATGCCTGACTCAGTTTCGCATTCTGATGATAGTCTAGGATCAACAATCCTCATAGCTTGATCTGGGAGTGCCATCTTCACATAGTTACGAAGGGAAAAGTCATCTTCGAACATGCTGTTTGTGGGCCTTTTTCCAGTAAACATCTCCAGCAAAAGTACACCATAGCTATAGACATCAACAAGTGTTGATGCTGGTGCCCCCATGCCACATTCTGTTTTTGCCAAAAGGAGCGGGGAAACAAAGAAATCAGTGAGCTCAAACAGTTTGAAAAACATATATAACAATCCAAAAGTGACAAAAATGCAGCAATGCTTCAACTGAGGCTGTGGGTTTCAACAGATTTTGCATAATGTTGAGTCCAAAATAAATCAATGGGTCTAATCATAAGAAGAATTAGGCTCCAGCTGAAGTTTAGATCCAGTACCGAAAGAACCATGAGAGCCCATTTAGCTCCATGCCAATTCTCTATAAGAGGGAAGTTAGCTTTCCATCTTCATTCAAGCACTTTCTATACTATGAGAGCTCATCACTATAATAATCACTTACCTAAGTATATGAGGTTGCCCCAAGGATAAAGCTCCGCCCTCTTTTACTGATTTAACTGGTTAAACCAGATCAAGACACATGCTTTTTTTTTTGGCATAACTGGTAGAGCAAAATTTTGGCATCAATGCATAGGATTAGCAGGTATTTGGCCGAGTTAAGGTGTTTCTAGATTCTCACTAACCTCAAAAAGATACCAAGAAGAATTATACCAGATTTTCATTAGTAAAGATTGAAGTAAAACATGTATCATAATTACCTAAAGCAACATATCCAACAGTTCCTACAAGTTCAATTGTTCTTGCACGGATTCCGTCGTATCTTGATCTATCAATCGCAAGCAAAAGAGACCTCGCAGAGCCAAAGTCACCTAAATGTGCGCAGAGCTCATTGTCAAGAAGAATGTTACTTGGCTTTATATCACGATGAATGACTGGAATGGCACAGAAGTGGTGAAGATACACTAATGCCGAGGCGACATCTATGGCAATATTAAGCCTCTGAATCAGGTTCAAGTTCTTTGGCTGCATTAAGTTACTCGAACTTGGATGCAACCAGCTCTCCAAACTCCCACCAGCCATGAACTCATATACCAAGGCTTTGAATTCATTGCCTTCATAGTCCGTGCCTGAGCAAGCTGTAATGATCTTGACAAGATTCCTGTGCCGAACATTTCGCAGTGATTCACATTCAGCCGTAAAACTCCTTCTGGATCCTTGGTTTTGAAGGTTGATTACCTTCACAGCAACTGTTTTGTCACTGTAATTAAGACTGCCCGTGTAGACTGAACTATATCTTCCCCTAGCAATCAAATTACCTTCAAAAAAGCCATCTGTGGCTTGAAAAAGTTCTGTATAAGAAATCTTAGGAAATTGATCTCCCAGAGGAGAATCTGATGTTAGCTCTATGCTGGAAATTCTTGTATTTATTTTGTGCCACCAACGGATGCAAGGAACGTACAGAAAATAACCAAAAATTACCTTTTTCTGGCATTTTTGCTGAATGTAAGCTAGCAGCAAAACAATAGGGAAAATAACGGAAACAAGGATCAGAACTACAAACAATGAAGTCTTCCCTTCCGCTGATGGTAATAGCCTCTGACATTTAGGCAACTGTAAAGACTTTACACCTCCACAAAGCTTTCCATTTCCAGTTACTGAAAAAGCTGTAGAGTTAAAAAATAGGCCTCCACTGGGGACTTCGCCTTCCAAAGAATTGAATGAAAGGTTCAGATACTGTATATAGCGAAGAGTTTCCAGGCTCCGAGGAATGGAACCAGAAATGTTATTTCTAGAAAGGTCTAGGAGTTTAATGCTCCTCAAGCTGTACAATGATTCAGGAATCTGACCACTAAAACCGTTACCCTGAAGACTAAGAAACTCCAGAAATACACATTCGCCAATGGTAACTGGAAGTTCTCCAGACAATCTATTGTTTGAAACATCCAAGCTCCCAAGATTTATCAATTTACCCACCTCTGATGGTAAAGGTCCGCTGAGAAGGTTGTGTGCTAAGTTGAGATTGTAAGTGAGTGAAGAAAGCCCAAAAAGACCTTTAGGTATGGCGCCAGTAAGCCTGTTACTTGAAAGATCCAATCCTTGCAATCTTGTATAATTACCCAAAGAAAAAGGTATGCTTCCATCTAACTTGTTTCCTCGCATTTCAAGGATACTTAGCTGAGTAATATTTCCAACGGAACCAGGGATCTTACCGATGAATCTGTTTCCTGAAAGATAGAGGCCCTCTAGCTTGGTTAGTTTCCCAATAGATTTAGGGATGCGCCCTGTCAGCATGTTCTGACCCATTGCCAGATTCCCTAAGTTGACAAGGTTCTCTAAGTTAACAGGGATTTCCCCAGATATATAGTTTTTGTCAAGCCTTAGCGATGTGAGTTTGGTGGACAGATTTGCAACAGAAATGGGCAAAGCGCCTCCATGATTGTTGGCATACAAATGCAGAATTCTCAGAATAGTGCAATTAGTCAAGGAAGCCAGAAAGTTTAAGCCAGTACTATCGGAAGTTCCAAGAGGATTCTTTGAAAAATCTAACCTTTGCAAATGTTTAAGGTCTCCCATATTCATGGGTACCGGTCCAGATAAAGCATTTGTACCAATGTCCAAGATTACAAGTCCTGAATCATTGGTAATGGATACAGGCAGAGGTCCAAAAAACTGGTTTTCTGCAACGACGAAAGTATGAAGTTTTGAATGGTTCAGGCCGAAATCTGAGGGGAAAGAACCATTTAAATAGTTGGAGGCAAGATTAAGATACCGAATTGATGAGATTTTGAAAAGCTGCAAGGGTACTTCACCAGACAATTTGTTGGAAGACAATTTAAGAAACTCCAAATTGGATAACTTTCCAAGTTCTTCAGGAATCCTCCCTTCAAGAACGTTATCTGATGCACTAAGGATGCGTAAATTGGATAAATTCCCCAATGAATATGGTATTGTGCCATGAAAGAAATTATTATCAAGGATAAGTTCCTCAAGAAATGTCAGGTTACCTATGGAAATGGACAAAGCTCCCCTGATTTCCAGCGATGACAGGTTCAAGGCAGTCACTCTTTGATCCATGGTGTTGCACCTGACACCATGCCAACTGCAAAAATGAGAAGAATTGTTCCAAGAAGTTAAGAACTGGAAAGGATCGCTCTCAATTCGAAACTTGATGGCAAGCAAAGCTTGCCGGTCAGTCTCATCTGAGGAACTGAATAAACTGCTGGCTGTAGTTGGTTTGATTAGTGCTACGGAGTATAGGAAATATAGACAATAACAGAGGATAGCAGACCAAAATTGAAGCCGAAAACTCATTTTGCAGGTGGAAGCGCTGACTGCCGAGGAGCAAATGCAATATGTTCAGCAAGGCCTGATGGACTTGAGAAGGAATGCAGGGTGGAATTCCAATCCCAGTGAAAATAGTTGGTTGTTTGAGAACTACCTAGTTGACCATATTGACTACTAAGGTAAGGTAACAGAACCTGATCGTTCTTGTCAGGAAATTTGTTAGCGTAGAAGCACTGGTGCTCATTCAGTCAAAGTCAAGATGCCTGTAGGACCATTAGTTCTTGTCAATTGAAGGTATTTTTCTTGACGAAAACTCATCAAAAGAAAATCAAATTAAAGGAACTTTCTTGCCTTCCGGCAAAAAATTAAAGCAAACTTATCAACTGATTATTATCGTTTTGTTTGAGTTTGGATTATCAAAAAATTGAAAACATGTGACAGTTGTACAAAGAAGAGACAGAGGAAATAGAGTATGTGAAGCTCAATCTCGGTCATTTATTGAAAATGGGTATCAGGCCAATATTGGTTAGTTTGATTTTTTTTTTTTTTTTGCAAAAAAAGCTACACTATAATATTAGGGTTTGTCTATATTGACACCTGTTAAAATATATTTCAAATATCATATTTTTTAAAATGTAACATTAATTAGACAAAGTAAATAAATACAAGAAACAAATGGGTGGCTAGTCTACTTCCTTGAGATCCCAAGTTCAAATCTCCATTCTAGCATCTTCACAAATAAATACAAGAAATGGTAGATAAGATTAAATACAAAAAGTATATAAATGCAACGGAAGATAATAATTATTAGCGTGTGTATATAAATGATAAGTTAGATGAATATTACGTGGGGGGAGGGATGAGTTGGGTGGTACGGAAGGAGGGAGTGTAAGCGAAAGGTTCCGCGCTCAAGTCCTCTAGCTTACACTTAAAAAAAATAAAAAAATAAAAAAGATGAATATTACGTGTATTAATAAGCACATGTCAAAAACCCATAATATTATATATGAAAAACTTTCACTATAATTATTTGAAGGGGTGCTTTTAAAATTTAAAATTTTATTGAAGTATTTTCTGAAAATTAAAAAAAATCACCACACACCAGCCTCCCCTCCTCCCTCCTCTTTCCTCCTCCTCCATCTTCCTCTTCTCTTCCTCCCCTCCCCTCTCCTTCCTCCGCCTCCTTCGTAACCATTTGAACATGTCTCTGGGTAAAACATCTACAGGTTGTTTAATGGGCTTCTGAATACTATACGAGAATGTAATCTTTTGCTATAAAACCCTTGCTTCACTTCACTCTCTGTTTCTTGTTCTTTTTCTTTCTTCAAGTCAATGGTCTTTTCCATGGATTTCTTAATCGGTCAGTGTTAGAAATTCTTTTTCAAACAGTAGACCGGTCTTCTGTTAGCGAAAAGATTTTTTCACCCATTAAGCGAAAGTTTCTGTTGGCCAATACTACCATAAAGACATAAGCCAACAGAATGGAAAAAATTGGGTCGCCAGCATACAGTATTATTTGAAATAATTATAATAACATTTTTTATGATGTGATGTATATGAAATAAAAATATAGTTATAAATATAAAAAGGTAGGTTGAAAAATGCATTTATGATGCAAGCGAAATATTATTTGGAAAAATCTGATATCCAAACAAACCCTTTCTTATTCTAATTAATATCCACATATGCAAAATTCGCATGCTAAAACGTATTAGCTATTCTAGAACACGATAATAAAAGCTCATATGTTTAATTAAAATTCCAATTAAGAAAAACTTTGTATATAAAAGGTAATTATGTATTTTGGAGAAGAAAAGGACGTTATTTATAATGTGGAAGGACAAATCAAATTTTGTGAAATGTCTTATCAGTTGAACTAATGCTTAAAGTAAACATATATTACTCATGTTGTAACTATAGCTGTTATAATTATTAAATTTGGAGAAATTTAAAAATTGTATTTGACTTATATCTTAATTATTTGACTATTATTAGCTTAACATCCCATGTCGCGTTGCACCAAATTTGGAATTGCTGCATCCTCAACCGGTGACCAAAACCTTTTCATTTGATTAATAGACTCGAATCTAAATACTTCTATTCTATCCAATATTTTTATATGCCACCGCATGACAACTCACTTAGTATAAATGGATTTTTTTCCTCAAAAAGTCATGTGTTCGATTCTCATTACTAGGAGGCATAAACCGTGCTACGCACGGTGGGAAAAAGGATGGAGATGCCCAATTTAATAAAATAATTTGTACTAATTCAAAATGGATAATTAATGAAATTTGTTTTTCTTGATGGAATTAGTTACAAATAAACCAAAAGAAATATTAAACCAAAATTAGAGTAAACTTTCATTTAAGTATGTAATCATATAAAAAATAGTAAGTGTCATTCTCATTAAAGAATCAAAATATTATAAGACTCCGTCTAAGTTGTCATCTGCCCTTGCTATTTCATGGTTAGGTTGCATTATAATTTAATTACGAGTTCAATTAATTTCCTAATAATGTAGCTACTTAAAACTTATAAGCATCATTAGGGGTTATATTTTACTATCTTTCCATGCTCTCAGATCATTCCCAAAATTAGAAAAAAAAAAAAGGAAAAGTGAAGGAGGAGAGTTAATAGAGCGGTAAGCAGGAAAATGCAAAATAGTAAGGGCCAAAGTGAGTAAGAAAATAAATGAATTTGACTTTATATTATTGATAGAAACAAAATACTTCATCCCATTTGACCTTAAACAAAGGTATAACAACCGCATAATCAATGTTTCAATTCATATCAACCTACAATAAGTTTCCTCACTTATTAACTTACAAATTGCATACAACAAATCTTAAACCTGAATAACATCCACCATACTCATGGTTAACTAAGTACTATGGCTGATATCAAAGCCCGTACATAAATAAGATAATATCACATTTGTGAAACACTATGGCTGGGGCCTGCTTAAAAGAAGTAATAACAACCAGGAATTGCCGAGAATCCAGCCAAGCAAACTTATTGAAATGTTTGACAGCAATCTAAGAGCCGTCATCTTCAAGCTGCCCTTTGTAGACAAACATCGGGAGCTTTATCTCCTTGTTCTGATACAATGTATTCAACTGAGAATCCTGTAGTCGCCACCTTCAGCTCATGTAAACTGCATTCTTTAAATGATGGCAGTTTCATAGTCTCATTTTCTCCACATTGCTCTAAAACCCTAGAAGAAAAAAATCAGAAAAGGGAAACAAATATTACATTTTTATACATTTAACAGAGTTTTAAGAATTACCAAAATCAAAGGAACAAGCGATGTTGGATTTGAGGTTAGAAGGCCACCAGCAAAAGCCTAATTTAGAGCAGCGAGCTCCCATTGGAATGAAGACGAATAATACTGAAAAACGAATCTGGCAATCAGGTCAAGAAAACAGACATAAAGAAATATCACAAATGGATAGAACTAAATCATAGGGACATAAAATGTAACACAAAAATTTTCACCGAGCAAGTCAATTCAAGAGCCATTGCAGCAAAAAACTTGTAAAAAAAATGTGCAAAGAAGTCACATACGATCAAAACACAAGGACAAAGCACGAGAAGCAAAGGACAAGGGTAAATCCAAAAAAAAAAAAGGCAAAAAATATCATGCTTCTGCAGAAATCTTGCAGAGGCTATTTCAGAACTTCAAGGAACAAGCAAGGAAAGAGCAGAAAATCATTACCTGTTCCATTCCGCCAGATTGTGTGCTCATATGTCTTTCACATTCACAAGTTGAGCAAGTTCTTTCTGTTGAGTAAAAGTAAGGTAAATAAATTACACGGACAATCCGTTCCACAATCAAAATAGGCAAACTACAGCTAAATGGTCATTCATAGCCACATAACCTTTGAAATCCTTATTGAATTGTATGTGCATAAATTACAAGTAAATCATGACGAATTCATGCTTGAAATCATGAATCATCACCACAGAAAGTAAAAAAAAATAATGAAGAAAAAACCTGAGAATAAAAACGTATTTGAAGGAAAGCATGGGGAAAATATATTTCAGAGAAAATACTAATTCGGCAACTTCTAAGGTAGAGATGATGCCGGAAAGAGGCATGTCACATCAGGAAAGGCACATTTGACACGGCCACAGATGCAGCTTCTCCAACCCAGTAAGCCGTAACAATCGTAAACCTGATTCCAGTTACTCTAATAAAATCAGGAGCACGTATAACATAGCACAACAATTCCTTTCCATCAAGAGCATCAGCAACCCGGAGGTTTAGGCTAACACCCTGCAACACTGACAAAGTATAGTCCAAATGTGTAACAGAATTGAAAAGTTGATAATGCAACAGTAAGCATCCAAATTCGGTTTAAAAAAAAAATTTATGCTGGCAACAGATAAGGCAATTAGGTGCGGTGGCTTAACTACAAAAGGCAATTAATATATAATTTTTAGAGTCAAAACAAAAAAATAATACATAACCTCACACCGATCCGAAGAAGCAAAGCTCTAACTGAAGCAGTACGTATAAATAGCAACATAGCAACTCTAGGCTAAAAAGCACAGAGCAAAACAGCAACACAGCACAAAACAGCTTCAATATCTCGAGGCAGACGCCATAGGGTTTTTTTAAGAACCACAGAAGCAAAGTAAGCATAAAGAGATGCTTAACGCATAATAAGTTCAAAAAGTTACAACTTACTATGCAATAAAGGAAGGCAATATTTACCTCAGCTCTATATCTCAAGCCCTCCACAGCATTCTTAGTGAGCAATGGAAATGGAGCTATAAAATTGGAGTCCACGTTATCACTTTCACCGATGAAGGATTTAATATCTTCAAACATGTCATTCTCCTCAGGGGACACCTACTCAAGATCAAGTAAGAGGGAGATAAGAAACATATAAGAAAATGATCACAATAATTTTAAATGCATTACCATAATCACTTTAATCATATTAGTGGAGACATTATTCATGTGCTAACATATATTAGGAATTCTGATATAAAAAAGAACAGCAAAACATAGGGGCAAAACCTATAGCACAATCTAATATTTGATATAAAAAACAAAAGGCGTATTTCAATATGCAATAAACACAAAGAAAAAACTGAAAACCAAAACCATGATTGCGAAGGATGACAGAACTTCTACAACATGGATATATATGAGCCAATGATTTACAGAAGATTCTAGTCAATATTCAAGCAATCCTATTGTTCATCAGTTCTGCTTGCAAAAAAATGAAGATCAACCAAATTCAATCTGGAAGTCAGGGTATAAATTCAGTTACAAAAGTAATTGCAATTTAGTCTTTAGAAAATTACCAGAGAGACAGATGCACCAGTGTTATACGCTCTTCCAGTACGGCCAATTCGATGTACATATCCCGCAGCACTTTGAGGCATCTCAAAATTTATGACCTGCAAGAAAGAAAAGAATCAATACAAGTCGATTATCAAACTGACAACCTCATCAGCCATAGACACGTAGATGATATGCAAAGCAATTCCTGTATGGAAGAAAGCTCAAGGATAAGATAAACAACATACATGGAAAAGCTCAAAATTTTCACTCAATATAGTAACATACTAATTACTAATCGTGCAACCATCCACTTTGATTGTAATAAGAAGATTAAGTAGATATATGCTGTTTGAGTATCTCCAAATATATAATAACCTATGCATAATGATACCTGCGCTTATCGAAAAAATCACACAGCAAAGTAAAGATATTGTAACAAAGAATAAGATACTGCAAGATGACGGCTAGAATGTGGTGCAAAAAATTTTTAAAAAAAATCAAGTGTCAAGAAAAAATGTATTTTAGAAAAGCAGCCGACCGTGTGAACATTACAACACCAAACTCTGCATCAAAGGCTAAGCCCTAAAACAGCACAAATGCAGCCTAAGCGTTACAGACGCGCAAGAGTCCAGAGCATCAAACAGCAGATGCGAACAAGGGAGATAGAGACACAGAAAAGCCTTTAAAAGATAATAAGAGTCCCATTTTTTTGGACGCCGAAGCCATAGAGTTTTCCAATAACACAGGCGAAACAGCAGATTAATTGACAACGTTCTAGATTAGAATCAAGGTCAATTTTAATTTGATATGAAGTGGGAATACCTGCTCCTAGGATCTTCTACCTTTTTTATTTTGAACTATATTTCTCTTTTAAATAATGATAAAACTTGGGTAATCATTTGCAACCCAAAAAAAAAATGGCGTGATTTATTAGCTCAATGGATCTACCGACTCTACAAGCAGTCATATGAAAATCTTCTCTTCCATTAAGTTCGTAAATAACAAAATTACCTCGGTTTCGACCCACAAACTCCTAACCTCTTGTAATTAATCACATTGCTAACCATAGCCATTTTTCTTTCAAACAAAATTCATCAGAATTCTGAAGTCATTTTAACACCATTTTTTTGAAGTTAAGAATTATCTCAATAAGAATTAGCCATTTTTGAAGTTAAGAAAAAACTTTGGACCATTTTTTTATATTCTTTTTCATTAAGGTCACGTATTAGTAATAGAATTGTAATAATGTGAGCATAATAAAGGAACAAAATCAAAATTATAAGTCAAGAGCAGCTGAAAACAGTAAATTCAGTTCCAAAAATAATAATAGTATACATTCCATATGACCAAATTAAAATTAAAATGACAAACTTTAGCTGCAGAAAAGAACTATATAAACTAAAATCAAGTAAAAGTAATCAATCCCCACAAAATTTTTACCAAAAAAAATAAAGGAAATACAGGCTGGACTATAAAGACAACAGAATTTCATCACTTATCAGGAAGTTTCATCACCCCATCAAGAACGTCGCCTATGGTTGGCACAGAACCTGCTGCACTAACCCAGCATCAATTCATTCCAGTATCATGTTTCTGTGGCTTAGGCCAGCATTGGATTTTATTAGCCGAATCTCCACTGGGAAAATTAAAAATCCAATCTCCAATCGCCACATTTTAAACCATATTTGATCTTAAATTAATCAGGAAAATAGTAATATTGGTTGAACATGCAAACAACCTCGGCTACTCCATGGAACACTTGCTATTATCCCATCCCTAAACGTTTCTACCTTCAAAATCTCCATTTTTCGAGCAATGCTTATTCCCTCTATTCCCCAGAAACGTTATTCACCAGGCCCCCTCTGACACTTACAGCAACAAACAGTTGCAGCAAAGAACAGGAAAGGAGAAAAAGCCCAAAAAACACCCAGTACCCATGTCAGAAAAAAACCTCATTTTCACAAGGTTTTTACTCTCCCATTGAAACTCAGAGAACCCAGAAAAGAGAATATCTAGAAACAGCATATAGTGATTTAGAGATCCACTCGGGTATTTTTACAAACATGTGGTGGGTAGATTTGAAAGCTGCATTAGGGCAGAGAATTAACATGAAGGGTATTGCTTCTTCTGTTGGGATTGTGGCAAAAGATAAGCATTTGGAGAAGAAGAAGAAGAAAACTTAGAGCTATAAGTAGTAATTGTTGGAGAAGTAAAACGGTTCAAGTGGGTCGGGTTGGTTAAAAGAATCGGACCTTTTCTTGGGTAGCGAGGGTGAGTTTGTCGGAAGCGTCGGAAAGGGAGGCATCGAGGGACTGAAGGTCGGCAATGATGGCGTCCTTCTCGGTGAGCTTGTGACGGAGAACAGACGCCTTTGATTCGAGGAAAAATAGCAACTCTAGACTAAAAACTGCAGAGAGAGGCACAACGAAGCACGATCCAAACGGCGGAGGAGGAGGTGATCCAAACAGGTGGCAAGATCGAACCTTTCCCGAGAGCAAAATAGGAGCCAGTTGAAAAAGGAAATAAAGGGAAAAAAATACAGGGGAAGCTAACAGAGAAGACGGCACCTCAACGTAAAGGAAGAACAAGGAAACTTACAACGGAGGAGGAGGAGGAAAACCGAACGCCCCGCAGCTGATCTGGACGACTGAGACCCAGTGAACGCGAGGGACAGAGGTTCGATGGTCCTTGCGCGTCTGGAGAAGGGGAACAAAGAACAAAAACATCAGTTCCAGGCTAAAGATTCACGCAGGAAGCTAATGGGAAAAATTGCACCTCACCGGAAAGGAAAAAGGAAGAAAAGGAAGAAGAGGAAAACTCACAACGGAGGAAGAGGAGGAGAGCCAAATGCCTGGAACACCGCAACCCAGAGAATGCGAGAGACCGAGGCTCGCTGATACCTGCGTGGTTAGAAGATAACTGGTTAGCTCAACAGGCTCTCGTACCAAGGCTCAGAACAGCCGGATAAGCAGCAGAGCAACATTGCCCAAAAGAAAGAGAGAGAGAAGACAGTGGGGAGAAGAGGCATGTGATACTGCCAGATAGAGAAAGAAGTCTATCGACGCAGCAGACAACGCAGCAGGAGGCACATGGATACCGGCAGAGGAGAAGAAGCGCGTGATGCGCGAAGAAAACAACGCTCTCAATCACATGCGCGCGGCACGTGAGAGGACGACGAAAACCTCCAGGTCACCACAGCCCTTCACTCTTTATCTACTTATGTTGATTAAGGTAAAGATTGTGATGAGAGATAATATGTAAGTACTCACGTAAATGACTTGTAGCCTTGGGATTCGTAATAGTGAGCATAGTATAAACCATTTGAATTAATTATTTACCTAAAGAATTCAAGAATTATTTGTCATATAATATACTGGATTAAGATTTTGTTGTGAAATTTAAAGGCTCTTTGCCGGCTTTGAAGGACATAATTGAGTTGTAAGAAAAAGGAAAAAAAAACTAATATTTAGAGTCTGTTTGGTTGGAAGTAAAATATTTTTCTTGGGAAAATATTTTCCGTGGAAGTAATTTTCCATGAAAATCATTTCCCTTTCATCATTTTCAGGTGTTTGGTTAGTTTATTGAAAATATTTTCTTACTTCATTTTTCTGGTGTTTGTTTAACTTTTGAAATATTTTCACTTTTATCTCTATCTTTACTTTCTACACATTATAACTACATACTTCTTCCCATGCAAAATAAGAAAATTTATCTCGTTGTTTAACTTCAAAAAATCTTGAAGAAATGTATATATGAATAAAAAATATCTCCTTAAACAATAAACAAATTGCTAGTCATTTAGTGTCAAATATCAATCACATGCAATGCTTATTGTGATATATATCTTGCACTCTCACTACTGAAAGTTTCTCTAGAAAAGAATGTCCCTATTATACATAATTAATTACTAGCATAGGATGAGCAGGATGAAGTTTTTTTTTTATTTTGAATATACTAGGGGGAGGGTTGGGTTGGGTGGTGCGGGGGAGGGAGTGTAAGGAAGAGGTCTTGAATTCGAGTCCTCCTGTTTACACAAAAAAAAAAAAAAAAGAACATACTACAAGATGTTTTCAGTAAGTTTGGAACATACTACAGGCGGGATACATGTATTTCGAAAAACAACTTCAGTAAGTTTAGAAGGAAAGTTGTTTTCCATAAGATGAGTGAAAATATTTTACATAGGAAAATGTTTTCAGTAACTTTTGTGCAACCATACACGGGAAATTAGGAAAATATTTTCCTGGAAAACATTTTCACCCGAAACAAACGGACCCTTAAAGGTAGTTTCTTGAAAAAAAAAAATTCATAAGCATAATGAATGATTAAGTTGTAATTCATTTATATTCAAGTATATATTTTAAAATTGATCATATTGTGAATAATCATACATTCTAGATTTTATTTTCATGCAAAAATCATACATTAGCCCATCATGAATAAATTAAGAAGAGTGGTCCTATTAAAATAAATCTGGCAGTGACAACATCTTTAGTAAGTGCTACTTTTAACACTATCATTCGCTTGCTTCAAAAACTTTGATCCAATTAGTTATACCGTGCTAGTAACAAATGCCACGAACTACACTAATTGTTATGTAGACTAGACTTCATCCTCAAATTAAACTGCTTTCAATAGATTTGTAAACAGATTAATCAAGTTTAGGGTATCATATTTAATTTGATTTGTATTTTCCTCTTGAAAGTTACATATGTTGATCAGCATATAGGATAATGAACTAATGCATACTTCATCCCGATAAAATGACCTGTATACCACTAAAAGGAGCCTGATAAATTCAGGTCCTGAGAAGATGGATATCAAATTTTGGATACTCAAGTCATAAGAAATGATTTTTCCTTTTTTAAGAAAATATAGGCACTGCTAGGCGCTAACAGCATGTGAGTCGTCTCCTTGAACTGACTCAAAGAAATGAAAAAATAAAAATAAAAATAGAAGGAAAACTCCACAACTGTCATAAATCCAGTTTGTCTTTCTTTTACTTTGTACATCCGGTTTTTAACAGGGACACCGGCCTGAACAGTCATCAGAAAAGTCGTTCGGATCGATTTGCACAGAATGCACAAAATATAACTTTATACGCACACGATATAATTCACTTTCATTAACATGTGACTATAGAACAAAATTTTATGAACCTCACATATGATGTAAAAAATGATGTACAAGATACAATTTGAACTTTACTCTTTTTTTTTTTTCAGCAGCCGTTCCGGTCCCTCCTCCGTTTAATAGGTATTCCGTGGTAAAGCTGTGTGTGTCCCATCAATCAGCTATCCCCCCACATTCGATGACGGTAAGCAAAAGTTGTGCTGATGATAGAAGAATTTTCTTTCAAATAGTTTCGTAGAACATTTCTGAATATGGATCTACTACAGTAGATGTTTTTGTTATCCAAAACAGAGTACTATCTTTACAATTAGGACTAGGTCCTGGCTTACAAGTTACAACTACTGCAACCTTGCACTGAGGAGGAAAATGAATTCTCACATCACTACTAATACTTATCGCACGTCTGCTAAGATTTGTACATAAATCCATATTACTGATATTATCTAAACAAAAAGAGCACAATTGAAACAAACTAGTTAGAGACAAATATATCTTCAATCATTGCTGCCATAAAGATGCCCTTGGTTCATCTCATGACTCAAAACCTAAAGTCTGATACCAGAATTGGGAGCTGCTAAACAAACAGGAGAAAGTACAGGGCAATTCAAGCATCCCACTAACAACAACATAATCACTAAGAAGCCCAGAATTTTTATCCATAAAACCTCCCCTGCATTAAAGCAAAAATCTTTTTCTCCGGGCAAAAAATTAGTTGCAAGGTTTTGGCAAGAAGGATCACTTCTACGAGATAATAATAATAATAATAATAATAACTCCAACTGCTATTTATCTATTTCTATTTACTTAAATATGCACACAGATATTACTACGCTTTTATCATGTTATTCGTGGTATGGAAGCTCTATTTGTAGATTAGGGCAATCAGACATTAAATTTCAAACTATGGCAGACGTCAGAAGAGTAAAATCTCTTGTATGAAGTTCGTTTGGAATTAAGCGACTAGGAAACAGAACCTGATAAAAAGGGAAAATTTACCCGTTAATGGGTAAATAGATGCTTGTCTAGCAGGACCCAGTTCCAAATGATCCTCCGCAAAAGGCCATCGCTCTTCAACAGAGCGCAGGTAGAAATCTTCCACTAAATAGTAACAAACTTGCAGGAGGTGAAGCGGAGTTGGCTCACAGCCCCTCAGAATCTGCGGCCAAAATAGTCCAAGTCATATTTCTAATGACTTGATATCAGAAGTCTGAGCACTCCCCTGCAAGCCATTCTTACTTCTCCAACCTTCTAATTGTTGCAATACACCCTGAATGGGTCCAGAGTAACTGGGCAAAAAGCTTCAGGTGGATGCCAAGATCAGAAACCATAGGTAAAAGAAGCTGAGACTAGCCATGAAGTGTTGTTGTCCTATACATGCTTAAGCTTAAAATCAGGACATTCAATTGTAATCAACATTTCTTATCAAATAAAAGAACAAATATAGCTTCTCCCTGCAATTAACAGATCAATTCAAAGAAGCAAATGACTTTTAATAACAATGACTGCTTCTAACAAAGAATAGGCACATGCATTCCTTCAGCCTATAGACTTTTGCCCCTCCCCATGCCCTTGATCTTTGACTTGTACAATAATTTACAGGCTGTGCACTTCATTCATTTTAAGAAAGAGCAACATTTAGAAGCTTGAGAAGGCCTAAATAATCCAATTTGAAAGTGAAGACCAAACATTATGTTGCTGTACAACAAGAAGTGTATCCGGAAGTGACTATTTACATCAAAAGAAAATTTTTGGATATCTTTCTATTTAGTCATATCGCTTGCAGTCTGACAGTCTTTCATTTTATATTTAAAGCAAGGAAGCAATCATCCATTCACTTGCCTAACTATAGTTTTGTTCAAACATCTTTACCTACCCAACCAATAGTAAGCAAGTTAGGAGGAAGACATGCAGGATCAAGCTCCCAACAGTCTCTAGGAAGGCCAGGGGCCTCTTCTCCAGAAAGCTTCCTTCCGGGAATCTGATGTGAAAACAGTCTGAACTCATCTTTTACAAGCCATCTAATAGCATGAGCCCCAAATTCTTTCCTCTTAAAGATTGTCTTGTATCCATCAACCTTTTCAAGGTACGCCATACTCAAGCCGTGTATCTCACTGTAGCTAGTTAAAAACACAACAATATCATAGCACCCCTTATTCTTCATTTGGTTTCTCCCTGAATCCAAAGCACTTTCATCATAAAGCGCCCAAACAGAACCCTTCTTTGGATAGATCCTATATACTTCTTTTGCTGCTCTTTCACAATCAGGAAGATGTGAAAACATTTTTGGAGACTTCACTGAAGCCTTTTCAGAAACCTTGAATCTGCCACAAGAAATATGAAATCCAATTTTCTCCCAACCAATTAACTGCTCATCACCGTTGTTCTGAAATTCTAACCAACTCAATCTCACCTGGAAGGGATTCAGAGAAACAACTTCATCAATCAAAGCATAACGCCTTGGCATTCCATCCTCACTGTCATAAATAGCCCAAACTTGGCCTTTCTTAAAGCTCCTCTCCACTCTGTCCTCATCAAAATTGTAAAAATCTGAAGCTTCCACTGCCACAATCTCCCTATTGTTCTGTCTTGGTCTTTTTCGCTTCTCAATTACCAAGTCCCTACTACTTCTAGAAGCCCTTCTGCCCACAACTTCCATGCTTTTTTCATTTGATGAAACTCCCATTTTTCTATCCCTCTTCTCCCTTTCATTGACTCTTTCCAATCCCATGTTGCTCTCCTTTTCATTTAACTTCTGCTGCTTCTTTTGTGTATCCTTCTCTATCTCCTCCTCCTCCTTTTCATTCTCCATTTCAATCTCCTTCTCCTTTGATTTTTCATTTTGCGTCTCCATCTCATTCTCCTTCTCCTTTAACTCCTCATTTCCCATATTCTTATCCTTCTCCTTTTCCCTCTCCTCCACCTCCTTTTCCTTTGCTTTCAACTTCATCTTCTGCTGGCTGACCTTCTTCTTCGCTAACATTTGCATTTCAGCTAATGTCATCGTCTCCTCTTCATCAACCTTCACCCTCTTCGTCCTTGCCCGCGTCGTCGCTCTCTCCTCCATCTCAACCCCACCACTCCTCCCCTCCTTTTTCTCACTTCTCGACCTCAACTCCTCAATCACCACATCATCGCCTCCACCCTCCAACCCCCTTTTCCTCCCCACATTCTCCAAATCCTTCACCATCAGCTTCTCTCTCAATCCCTTATGCTTCCCTCCAGACACCTCCAAAACCCCCCCAACACTACTCATTTTCCCAAGCCTTCTCGCCTTAATTCTCTCACTTGTTCTCAAAACAACATTCTCCCCCTCCTCACCCCTCTGAACCGTGCTAGCATTTTCCTCCTCCTCCTCCACTTCGACCGCCTTAAAACTCTTCTTACAACTAGGGCAAACCAAATTATGCCCCAAATACTTCCTCTCAAACTTATGCAACAATCTACAAGTCGAACACGCCGTCCAAAACGTCTCCACCTCCTCAACCCCACCTCCAGCCGCCCCCGCCGCAGCCTCAGCCTCATTCTGCATAGCAATTCTCAAGCTCATATCATATTCCTTCCTCCTAATTCTATCCGATAAAACCCTAAAAGCTTCCCCTACACGCTTAAAAGCCTCTTCCGAGGCAATAAACGGGTTTTTATCGGGGTGTAGGGTTAATGCCAATTTCTTGTACTGTTTTTTAATCGTATTTATATGAGCAAACCTCTCAATCTGGAGAATTTTGTAGTAGTCCGGCGGAGCTGGGGGAATTGAAGCGGCCCCGTCACCGCCGCCTCGCTCTGGTGGAGTTGAGGTGAACGGCCTGGTGGCTGTCCGGAGGATCTTGAAGGAGGTGAGCATTTCCGGCAGAGCTTCAAGAGACGGTTGAAGACGGTGAGCTCGCTTGGCGTATTTTAACGCCGACTTGAGGTTTCCGGCGACGTACTTTTGCTCTGCTTGGTTTTTCAGGCGGCGGGCTTCGGATTCTGGTTCTGGTTCGGGTTCGGGTGGGCTATTTCGGCCCGGGTTTTCGCCTGCCATGATTCCTCGGGGTCAGGGTCTTAGGGACCAGTAGCTCGAGTTGAAGGAGAAGGGACGTAAAATGACGGCCGTTTGTAGGGACGCTTAAGCGACATCTAACCAGAAAGATAGAGCAAATTACTCAGACGGCCACTGAACTTTCGGAATAGTATAGTTTTAGCCACTTAACTTTTAAACATATGTATTTACCTACTAAATTATCAAAATTATAAATTTTGGGTCATTCCATCTATTTTTACCATTAAATCTGCTAGATTTTATTATGTCTTGTGATTGGTGTAGCCCTTAGATTTGACAGACATGACTTAACGATGGAAACGGACGAAATGGCTCAAACTTCACTCTTTTGATAGTTTAATGGGTAAATACATACTCTTAAAAATTAAATGGTCAAAACTCTAGTATTTTAAAAGTTTAGTGACTATCTAGACAATTTAGTCAAAAAGAGAAAAGGAAATTTTTTTAGAATATTTACCCAAAAAAAAAAAAAAAATGGAAAGTAAGGGTTATAAATTTGAAAATGTTTAATTATAAAAAATATTAATCACAATTCACATGCTTTATAATGTCATTCTAACTATCTTCTTGATCATATGATCTAATAAACAAAAATCATATCATAACAAAGATAGTAAAAGTGCCGTTATAAATAGTAAAGTACAATTACCATTACCTAATTATATCCACTTAAATGAACTTATAAGTTCTTATATACATCAGAAATACAAATCAAAATTGTTTGCACATTTGGAACATGCTACAGTAGTGGACTTACGAATAATTAAATTTTGATTCTTTTTTTTTTATTAAGATATATTCACATGATGAAGAATACAACGTAACATGATATACTTGAATTCACTAACAAACTATCCTGTTCTCTCGAAAAGTCTACACTATCCTTTCCGATGCTACGTTCATATCGTGTGTTTTATAATCCCCTCATTTACAAATACACAAAGAGGTGAATGGGCGGAGGTTTGGGGAGGGACTAGAAGAAAGCTGCTCGTTTGTATGGTGAAAGAATATCAGAGACTCTAGCTTGGATTCCTATTTTTTGGAGCTTTTATTAAAAAAAAAATACTGTAATGATTGATATATATGAGATAAAAGATGATTTAGAAATATATTCACGAAAAATGTAAAAAAAATTTGAAAAAAAAAATTGCATTCCAAACAACGCCTAAAATTCTGCTTAAAGATTTAACCACTGGGAAATATCAAATTCATTTGGGGAGGATAAGAAATTATTCCTCTTCACTAAGCACCCTATTTTGTGCCTAACTTGTTATTGAGGTGTTACATATTGTTTTGTTAGTACTACATTGTCGGATTAGAATAAACAATCCTCATTGCTTATCAGTTAAGTCTATGACTAGTGATTTACTATTGATTAGTAGTTTATGACATACATATTATTACGTACAAATGCATGCTTAGATTAGATTTAATACACATCAACCACCAGATAAATTATTGTAGAACCCAAATTTAGAGTTCTAATAATAATTGCGTGCAGGATTATAGAACTGAAGGAATAAAATAATCGCTCAAAATATTTATATGGGATAGAAGTAATAAATAACTCACAATATTATTCATATCTAAAAATAGTGTAAGAAAATCACACCACAATAAAATCTCACAAACTCGATTTGGACTCTCTTCAGAAAATATTACAATTAATCCTCTATTTATAATCTACCAGACTTGTTGGATAAGAAACCACTTACATCAACAATTACCAAATAAAACACATACTCCTAAATAACACAACTACTAAAAACTTGACTCCAATAAAACTAGTTAGTAAATAAGTAAATAAATACTTCTAAACTTCTTTTTTTTTTTTTGCCATCAATTATTACTTTGCAAATAACTTAAAAAAAAAAAAAGGGAACAAACGAGGTTGGATGTTGACAGTTTCATGGGGTCCAACTTGGACTTTCCATACTATAGCATGGAAAGTCCAGTTTGCTCTTTCTTGCACACTTATAGTTCCAGTTTGCCACTTACCAGCCAACTACTTAAATTGTTCGCTTTGCCGAATCGAGCTTTGGTTATACTTGCCACCTTTTGACGTTAAACTAGTTGAGTCGGTTTAACAACTTTATATTATTTTTGGTCAGAAGATCTTTTGGAAACTTTGAAACACTTTTTGCTTACTTCTTATTTCATACTTCCTGCCAGTATAAATTGCCAAGCCCCAGCTTTCCATTTCTCCTCAGTTTCTTTGCTCAAATTCTGCTGCTCAAAAGATTGACAGAAAGATAAGGAGAGAGGGATTGAGAGATGGCAAGGCTAGTCCTAGCAATGTTGATCACCCTGGTGGCAGCAATGGCTTCAGGGGCTCAAGCCCAAGATGATGTTACATGGGCCAAGCGGGTTGATTCCGGGAAAGAAGTGGTTTCCACTCTTCAATTCTACTTTCACGACGTGCTCAGCGGAAGAAACCCTAGTGCAGTAAAGATAGCCCAAGCTTCCCAGGGCAACTCTACACCAAATGGGTTCGGATCGTTGATGATGGTGGATGATCCATTAACGGTAGGACCGGACCCCAACTCGAGACTTGTGGGGCGGGCAAGGGGAATGTACGGTTCAGCCGGTCAGACCGATTTCGGCCTCGTAATGGTGATGTGCTATGAGTTCCTAGATGGGACGTACAAGGACAGCTCATTTAGCATTCTCAGCATCAATCCGGCATTAAATCCGGTTCGAGAAATGACCGTAGTGGGTGGAACCGGTTTGTTCCGGTTGGCTCGGGGATATGCTATTGCCCAAACCTACTCTTTAGATCCCACAACCGGTGATGCAGTCGTGGGCTATAATGTGACTCTAGCCACATATATTTGAGTTATTGAGTAGTCGATTTTAATTTGCATTTGTTGAATAAGAGATGATCATTTCTAGGTTTGCCACGTTGAAATACATTCCCAATTGAACTTTCTGCCTGTGCTTGTTATTTATTCATTTTGTTGGAGTTTGGTGACCACATTTTTTACTTTGAATTAAATTCTTCCTTTAGGAATCTTTTATATCAGAGACTAGTGAGTTTAGTTCATTCGATGGCCTTGTCCTGTTGATCACATTGATGGTGGTAACTGGTAAAGAAAGATTTGAAGCCTTAAGCATTGTGGAAATGGTAATTCCATCCATTTGTCATAAAAAATGTAAGAAGTTGGAACTCATTATTCAACCCCTCCCTATCTGTTATCAAAGCAGAGATCTTTAAAATGATTGTAATTCTCCTATTCATGGTTGATGCGGGAGACAAAATACTTGTGGTATGTTGCATTTCTACTTTTCTTTTATGATTTTGTGAGTTCTCTTAATCTTTTAATGTGGAAGGCATTACGTTACGAAATAATTTATATTGGGCATGTTTTAGATAGGCGAATGGTTAGCAACAACCAAGGTTGAAATCTTTTGAGCTAAAAGAAGATGTTAGCATGTTAAATCAAGACTCAAAAATAGAAATTTTCATATTGTTATTTAATAATGTAGTTTTATTGGGGGTTAAATTATAATAGTTTTATTGTTTAGAAATTAGTATTTTATTAGAAAATTTTTTGTGGTGTAAGACTTATTTATTAAATCATGTAGTCTATATAAATATAGAGCCTTATTATTAAATCAGTTGGAAAGAGTGAAAATTTGATAGACTTATTTTGGTATGATTAATATATTATTATTGATATTATTCATCTTCTCTCACACATATTTTTACGTGTGAATTCCCTTTCCATATACATTATTCTATTTTTCTTTTCTGATTTTGTGAGTTCTCTTAATCTTTTAATGTGGAAGCAGAAGCAGAAGCATTATGTTACGAAATAACTTATATTGGGCAGGTTTTAGTTAGGCGAATGGTTAGCAACAACAAAGGTTGAAATCTTTTGAGCTAAAAGATGTTAGCATATTAAATCAAGACTCAAAAATAGAAATTTTCATATTGTTATTTAGTAGTGTTTTGGTTAAATCAAATTTTCGGTAGTTTTATTGGGGTTAAGGTATAGTAATTTTATTGTTTAGAAATTAGTATTTTATTAAAAAATTTCTTGTTTAGATGCCTAAGCCCATCTTTTTGTCAAGAATTTGTATGGATAAACCTAAATTAACCCCATAAGAAATATTAAAAGGCAATTGCTGACTTTTGGCACCCCCACGGAACTTAAATCTAACACACACACTAGCATCTCAGCTGTCATGCTTTGGTTTGACCCTGACAGGCATAGCAGACTAGCAGTTGCGTGGTTAACTGAGTTGTCGAAGGATGCAAACAATTAAAGTAGTTGAATTTGAGCAATAAACTATTTGACCTCAACTCGACTGAAATATGAGATCTTAAGCTCAAGCATTAAGATAAAATATAACAATTTGAGCTCGACTCAAATAAGCTCTATGTTAAGTGCTACTAGAGCTTAATTGAACTTAATCAATGTGAAGTAATATAAATAAATAATTTTGTAATGTAAGATGGATTTCAACTTATATCGATAAATGAAAAGAGCAAGATAAAAATCTTAATTCATTTGATATCGTGACTATAAAGATCTTTTCATATGAGTACTGATCGAGATTAATTGAACCAAATCAATGTGAAGTAATATAAATAAATAATTCCGTCATGTAAAATGGATTTTGCTTTATATCGATAAATGCAAACAGTAAAGTAAAAATCTTAATTCATTTGATATCATCAAGATAAATATCCTTTCCTATGAGCAAATTTAAATGCATCTCACGTATGTAAAATTTGAACATAACTTATACATCGTGCATTCCAATGTATTAGTGTAGTAAAATTTTACATTAATCGTATAGGACAACTAATACACATATAAAAGAATACAATAGGCGCACATATATGATATATTTGTGAGCTCGATTCATTAATCCATTCCAGCGAGAGCTCGAACTTCGAGCTAGCTTGATTAAAGTCAATTCGGTTAATACTGATTTATGTCAATTTCATCTGTAGCCATTGAAGCATTGATGAGTGGTTCTGTTCGGCCTAAATAACATGGCCTAATAATCCATCAACAAATGGTCCCGAGACAACTTTAATGATAGTAGGCAGAGGCTAACGATGTTGCAGTCTTGCTGACCAGAATGATATCGAACCAGTCACCTAAATGCAATGTTTTAAAAATCGGACCGTTAATTGAACCGGTGAAGTGAAAGGGTCGAGGTTCAACCGGTAGGACCGGTTCAATGAATTTTTTAAAAAATAATTTATATAAATATATATAGTACAAAATAAGACATGTAATGGACTAATTTAATACTTTATATGATGAAAAGTTTACTATTTTTTAATAACTTGGATTTCTAAAAATAAATTTTTTAAATTTTAAGTTAAAACAAATAAATTTCATCTCAATTTCAATTATATCTAAATCCAACCCAAAAATATCACAATATTTTGAAATTATACAAAATTCACGTCTATGAGAAAAATATCACAATATTTTGAAATAATATAAAATTCACGTATATGAGAATTTAGATATTATGAACTTAAATTTTAATTTACGTTTTGGGATTTAGAGATTGCAATTTAAAAAAAGAAGTTTGGAGTTCGAAGGAAGTCAAGAAAATCGAAAATAGAAATGTAAACTTGATAAGAAACAAAAAATGAGATAAAAGTGAGTAGTTGTGGCATTAAATAATTTGGGTTAAAAAAATAATTCTTTTTTAACTTTTTTCAATTTAATGGACAAAAACAAAATTAAAAGATGGAAGAAAACATCAATAAATTAAAAATAAAGAGGTTTGATTAAAAAGGGAGTGACAAAAGAAAAGAGGATAGAGAGAGAGAGAGAGAGAGAGTTGAAAATTAAAAAGAAAGAGCCATGAGAGGATGAGATTTTGTAAGAAAATGGAAAAAAGAAATATGAGTGTTTGTTTTATATAAATAAGTTATCAAAAAAAACTAATAAGATGTGATGGTGCAACGGTTAATACATTGGTCTTCTATTACAAAGGTCTTGAGTTCGAATGTTGATAGCTGCATTTTGCAAAAAAAGAAAAAAAAGAGGAAGGTTTGAAAACCGGTTCAATAGCGGTTTTTACGGTTCGACCGATTCTTGACCGGTTTTCTGAAAAAGTCAACTATAGCATTGAACCGGACCGGTGCCATGGCCAGTTCGCGGTTCAATCGGTCGAACTGGCCGGTCCGGTCCGATTTTCAAAACATTGCCTAAATGATTATGACTTGCTGCTTTACTGTGTCCAAAGCATAAAGCAAGCACTTTGAACCTCCTGGGAAGAAATACACGAGGGGAGGCAAGTGAATTTGACCTCAAACCATAGTACGAAAAGTTTCGTTTTATGCCCAACAAACAATTTAGGCCACTCAAAGCTAGGTGAAATCGCATAGTAAGTTACACGCAAAATCTGTAATTTTGCCATCAAATCTCTCTACAACCTTATGCTTCCAAAAGAACCACTGTAAGAAGTCTCTGTCTTTGAGAGTACTTTTTCTCTCTAGAGAGACTTTTCCCCCATAGTGGGTGTTTTTACTCCTTTCAAAAATTAGCGCCAAGTCTCCATAACTGCTTCCACATTTATAATCCAGATTCGTATTCAATTATTTCCCAATATAGATTGTTTCCATTTCCCTGATCTATGTAAGGAATTTCTAATTTAGGAGCCTAGGATTGAACTCTGAGCCAGATCTGGCATTCAACAGGAACTATAATGCATTCAAAGATACCCAAATTTGATTCTGGTTATTTCTCTTATTATGTAGATTTTAGCGTCTGTTTCTTTTAGCTTATCTCTATTTGTTTTGTGGTTTAGGTAATTAATGAGGAAGCATAGAAGTTACAGCTCCTTCTTGCTTAGCTAAGGAGAGGTTGCTGACCTCAGATCAGTGGAGGACTGTGGTTTCTGTGAAGGATGGACGACTTGGAGGGGGTGATGAAGAAATTTACTCTTTCAAGTACAGAGCAAGAAGGCGTGTGGTTGGAGGAGGAGGAGTTCACGAAGGGAGTTGAAGAATGTAGTCTGAGCTTGTTAGGGAAAATCTAGGGAAAGAAGATAGCGAATATGAATGGGATTAGAGTTTTGCGGAGAATATGTGGTTTCATCAGAAAAATTTGAAGGTAACGGAGATCCGTACTAATATGTTTCAATTTACGTTTGTTCAGAAATCAGATTTGGAACGAGCATTGAACGACGAGCCATGGATCTATGACGGCCAACCGCTAATACTTGTGAAATGGACGGAGGGAATTGAAGACGAACAAAATGCTTTTGACAAGTGTAGAATATGGGTATAGGTTTGGAACCTACCTCTACATTGGATCACCAAAGAGGTAGGGAGGAAGATGGGAGGAATATTCAATGAAGTCATTGAGGTAATCACCAGAGAGGTAGGGGGAAAGAAGGTAAACACATGAAATTGCTAGTTGAATTTGATCTTACTAAACCTCTTCCTAGAGGCACTACGGTCAAATGTAATGGCATGATGAGATGAGTAGAATTTAGATATGAAAAATGCCCGAATTTTTGCTTTTGTTATGAAGCCATTGGTCACAATGAGAAGAATTGTGGATTTAAAGGCTTTGATATGAAAGGTGAACAGCAATATGGTAACTAGCTGAGAGCTAGCTTTCTTAGAATGCCGAATAGGAAGACTAATAGTAGATATGGAGGAAGTGAGAAAAAGCAAAAACAAGATAATAGCAACCCTAAGAAGTATAATACACACCAAAATAATTCCTACAGAAGGACTCAGAACTTACTTTTGACATATACAAAGGAGTTCCATAAAAAAGGTGGGAAAGAGATAGAAAAAGAAATAGGATCTGTGGGGGATAAGGAGGTTAGAAAGGGCAAAGAGGATTTGCAGGTCAAGGAGGTCAGTATGGATAGGAAAGAACAGAATGAACGAAGTAGAACAAGAAAGGGGGTAGGAGAGCAAGATATAGAGGAAGAAGGGGTAGTTAATACTAA